CTCCAAAACAGTGGCACCAGCCATGTGAACAGCCCCCAGCGCATCATACCACGCATATACTGGACTTGCAGGAGCCTGCTCTCTGCAGGTTCCTCCCATATGCATTGTTTTGAAACACAGCATGTTACATCTCCAGAATTGAAGCAGGTGCCATCCATCAACGCGCCCTTCACACTTTTGACGCCTACGATCGCCTACGTATATTTTAGGAACCGAACAAAGAACAAAACGGTGATATGCCAACCTTGATCCTTGAATCTTCACACACATTGACATTCACACATATAATTACCATAATTACCTCCAATATTACCTACTGTACATCAACCTACAATATCAAAGAAGTTGGCCTTCGGTGCCAAAGATTGGTCTTGTGCAGCTTGCGCTTCCAACTCGGCCACGCGAGTGTGAGCAGCTGACAGCTTCGCCTGCAACTGCCTCAGCTTCCACATGCTTCCACCATCTTCCACCGTTCGACTTCTGATGGAAGAGCACTTTGCCCACAGGCTTTAGATCATCTAAGACTGCAAGGCTCAAACCAGCCAAACCGGTTCAAGTCTCGAACTCATTCACTATAAAAGGTCCAATGCAATCTGCACGATTGGGAACCTCTGGGTTTTGCTGCATTCCGGAAATCGACGTGAACTGCGAACCACTTGGGATTCATTTGGACCTGGAGGCCCTGCGCGTTGTGCGAGTACTCCCTGGGCACCCGCCAAGTGGCATAATCTCCTCAGACCCTTTGCTCTCTGAGACCTTGCGCTCCTGAGAGGTTGAGAAACAAACTGGCCTATGACATGCTTGATTGTCAGCATGTCTCTTCAACTGGATTCAGGTAACTGGCACATATGGTATGTCCAAAAAACTTAATATATAAGCATGTCCACAAATCTAAAATAGTTTGGACTTTGCATGTGGGTCACGTGTAACGCTTTGAATTCAAGCTCGAACTTCAACGTAAAGCCGTGGAACTGATGGCTGCACATCACCGAAGTTGAAATCATCCCAGCCGTCATCGCCTGCCAAACTTGC